GTAGTTTGTGAATTCAGTTGATGATTCAACAAGCCTCTATGTTTTAACAGCTTTCCGTGTGAGGATACGCAGCTGGTAAGCACTTGAAACGTTGGTCCTTTAATGTTGTTTGTTTTCTGTTGGAAGTATGAATTGAAATTAATACTTAAACCGGTAGTTGTTAGCTTTTATCAAACGTCCCATATTGTGAAATCTCCGCGTATGGGGTCGCAGGAATAGCTTGCTTCCCGTTTACATTCTTATAGACTTATGTACTGGTTTTCCTCTTTTGTGAAGACTGTGAGCTAGAAAAACCTTGCATCCTTCTAGTGTTAGTCTGCTTATTTCCCAAGCGTTTACTATTAGGTCGGTTCAAAGTTTTGTCCTTTTAAAGTGAAGCGTGAAACCCTTACAACAAATGAACATTTCAACCTGCAACCGATGTTTCCTCTTTACAGTTGCGATATCCGCAATGTAACATTGAGGAAACTGCTAGAAATTACACCCCTTCGTTTTCATAATGTCCGACTTTCGCTGATTTTCAAAATTTTAACTGAGACTTTTAGGGGTGCCTCAATACCCAGCAGGTAATGCAAACCTTTTGCCAACTAAAGCAAATTTTTGCAGCTTTGTGCCTTGTCTTCAAATTTTAAAGCAACCAAATTTTATATTCAGCCTCTAGCCTTGTAGAACACGAAATGGTAAACAGTTCAGGCACCATTCGATGCAGCTTCTCTCTTCTTTTTAACAGTTGTCTCTTTTTGGCGAGACACTCATTTCTCCAATTCACGGGTGCACACTGACATACCCTAACCTCCCAAAACATTTTAAAGTGGAAAAAGTTCATTTATTTTGCAAACTTAATAAAAAATAATCAAGTATTGAAACCTCAGTATTTGATGATTTTGCAGTGTTTAATGCGATAACAGGTCATGAGACCTTTCCAAACTCAAGACTCTCGGAAAATATAGAGCATATTTCTACAAGAGCAGCTAAAAAAAGAAAAAAATTGCTTCAGTTGGCAAAGGTGTGCCTTAAGTGCAGACTATTGAGCTCCTCCAAAAATCTCAAATAAAATTTTGAAAATTAGAGTTGAACATGGTAAAAAAACGAGGGTTGTTTCTAGCAATTATCTCAGCACTCTCTCAAAGAATAACATTACTAATACAGCGGCTGAAAGAGGGTAGTAATCCCGCATAGGACACAGTTTCAAGTGTTTATATACCTCTAATCTTCCTTTACAGTGAATTTAAGAAATTAATGACCGACCAATATTTTCCATTAATTTTTCCCGTCCAAAATATATATGGGCCGATTCAATATTTTCCAATAAACGCGACAATCTGTGGGTCTTCGACTACATTGTCTTGCCTTTTCCAGTGAAGTCTTTTTCAGAAAAGCGAGATGAGCTATATCTAGTGGATTCTGCTTCTAGTTCATTCCGCTATAATCTTCACCGATTATTTTTAGGTAACACGCTAGCATTTTTACGCTGTATCGAATGTAAGAAACGAGTAATGTGTCAGTTCAAGAACTGATACAGGTTGTTCCAAAAAATGTGGAGATTTTTGATGAGAATTCTCTCGTTTGGAAAGCTTTTGTTATACTGAGACAATACAATGTAGGGCTGGCTTCAGTTTAGAGAAATGATTACGAAATACCTAATTTTATCAGTATAAGAACCTATTGCTAGATACTCTCAGCATTATGACATCTTTAGGTCTTGCTACAAGGCAAATAGAGAAAAAAAGTAAGAAGCTTCTAGAAAGCTTTGGAAAAACCAGTCAGATCTATTTTGAGGAATCGAGAAACACTTAACCCTTGATTCAACTGGATTGGCGGCTGGAAGGCGGGGCTTTGTGAGCTAATTGAGGCCGCTCGCGCTCGCGACGCAGTGGGCGTCCCTCTCGCGCTCATGCTCTCTGATCATTTCCTAGTTTTAACTAGGTCACGAAGCCCCGCCTTCCAGCCGCCGATCCAGTTGAATCAAAAGGTGTATAGACAAAACAAAAGGATTTTCACGCCCAGCATAATTTGAGTGAAAATCTATGAACATTATTGACGCTAAAATCCAAAATTGACGGTCCACCTCAAACTTCTTGCTTACTTGAGTTGCGCATCGAAAGATTTTCTGCTCTTAATTTCATAACGTGCCATATTCCAGAATGTCTCAAAAATTTGTCCTCCTTCTAATCCTGGTGCAAATATATGCCGCAATGTGCTGCGGTGGTGCATTCGAGTCTTTATTCTGTTGTTTCCGAGGAAACAGAGGAAATAATCTTTGTGAGAAAAAGGAACGTAAAGTAAGTATGATTATTGATTAGTAACTTGTGGTTTACCATTCGAATTTTTTTACAGTGCATGAAGCATTGTGAGATAAAATTCCCTGGAGGAGCAGCTAACAAAAAATTTCGGAAATGCTTCTGGAAATGCATGGAGTATGTAGGGGACGTAAAAGACAAGAAGCAATTGAAAGCCAAAATGAAAGTATTCAAGCGACATCTCTATGCGGCAAACCGCTTGAAGGATTTAAAACTATAAAGTGTTTCTTGTACTTGCTTGCCGCATTTAATACAATAAAGTGTTTGTTGTATTTATCTTGCTCGCCGTGTTCGGTACATATGCCATGTCATCACATCTACATCAAGACAGATTATTTTCCATCAAAGTATAGTTCAAGACGAATCTTGATACACGAAAAAATTTTGAGTTTACATTATGTCCGTGGGCTTTTGATAGCAAATGGTCTTTGCCATGATTTTTAAAAGTTGATTGCTTTTCAGTGCACTCTATAGTTTGACCATAGCGCAGTCTCCTTGCGATGTCAGCACTTTGCGCATCAAGGTATAGGACATTCGAAAAATCGTGACGATGGCGTGACCGCGCGCGACACGCACGCACTTCCCGCTAGCCGCATTTTCTTCGTTTTAATCTCTACTCGACTGGTTTTTTCGCTTAGGTATGAATAGTACTTGGACACTTTAAGTGAATGAGCTGAGCGCTGAGGTGATGCCTTTTGTATGAGTGTTATGCTCCTGTGAGCGCAAAGACCGCAGTAAAATCCGTTGGCACGATTTTATAAATGAACCTTATCATGACATAGATAGTGTTTAAATTTTTTTTATTTTGCTATCTACCCATATCATAAGTGCAAGCGTTGTTAACATCACAGGAGCATTATGTTAGCCGTCAGATAAGGCTAGCAGGTGGAAGAGTTCAACAAACCTCTACTTTCGAAGCAAAGTTGCTAGTTTCGTTTTCTTTAATGCAGTAAAAGCCATCATTTGGCAAGTTTCCAAACATCTTCAACAGTAAAGCATAATCACATCCACAGCATTAAGACTGAGTTCCAGTGAGAGACTTACAAAAGGATAGTTGGTGATCGTGGCCATTTATGATAAGGTATACATCATTATACGCGTTAGATGCTGATTCGAGACTTGTCTTCCATATCCGCGGAACGATTATCTAGCTGGAGTTATGATTTTTTTACAAGAAAAAATGCACTATTACGGAGACACAGAACCTTATTGCTTTGACTGCTAGATCTAAATTACTTGTCTAAGATTTTGTTCCGCGGCATTGAACAGTAAATTAGATCGATACCAATTATGTCGTCTATACAGGAATGCTCAAATTTCCTTCAGAAAAAGTTCATAACTTCCTTTAGAAGATCGGTTCGTAGCTAATGGCAGAACTGAAATCAGGATTTCAAGATGCGTTTTGCAGTATACACTTCATTCCACAGTTACCAAGTATCCTTCCCTTGTCAGACAACTTGAGCGGCCCTAGTCAATTTTTATATATAATCTATATAATCTTTGATCTAGCAGCTGAGATTTTGGGTAAAGATGGTATCAAATTGTTTGGAAGAGGACTGCGATTTTTGTGTTATTTGACTAGTGAACCGGTAATTGAAGGTGCTAGATTGCGTCCGCGCGCTGGGACCGCCACGCGGACGCTATTTGCAGTTTTCAATTGCGTTAATGATTATTCATTATTATTATATTGTTACAAGATACTTGAAAAAGTGAATGTGAAAACTTTTTTAAATAAACTGAGTTTGGATACTTGAGCCATCAGGTCGAACCTAAGTTTTGTTGATCTTTTTTTCGTCTTTCTTTGAAAACTCCAGAAACTTCGGAAAAGTCTCGTGTATGTCATAAATAGGGAAGGGATAACGAGCCAATAATGGCAATATTCTCACCTTCACAAGCGAAGTTGTTATGGGCTATAAAAAATTATGCTGATAGATCAAAGAGTAATGGGAAAAAGAAGACTGTAAAGCAAAGGCTTTCAGCTTTATGTCGAAGCAGTTAAACCTCCGCAAGCGACAAATAAAAAGGTGTGCAATATAACACCAAATTAGCTCATAAAATATGCTGTCTTTTTGCAAGAATTCCAGCCCCTGTGGATAAAAAAACAGCCTTTCATTTTGAGCTGTCATTCGGCAGCTTTGTTCAATTCCTAGTAGAGCCGATTCCGACTCGAGCTAAAGTTTGAGGGAAAATAGCAGATTTTGAACTACTAGGCAAGTGATTTCGAGTGATTTTTCAGAGCTATTTATACCTTCAATATAGATTGCCTTGCACAGTGCAATACGCACAAATCTGGAATCAGACATTGGTTTATCTAGACAGTGAGAAATTCTATCTTCTCAATAGCCCCATACAACCATACTATCGCAGTCTTGCGAAGAATTTTTTGAAGAATCTAACAGTTGAAATCTTGGCTTCCAAGATAGAAAAAATGATTGAAATAAACTGATTTTCCGAGGCACTTGCTTTAGATTTGAGAGAACCACTCAGGCATGATTTTTGATATGATTAGTTAACCTTAGCAGATACTCAATTCTACTACATTCTTCTGAAATTGCCAAATTAATCGAAACACATTTTCCTTTCCAAATTTACTTTTGGTTAGCGACTGTTCAAGAAAAGAAAGTCGTGCATAAAGCTGGTCACGAAAAATTCAACTACGAGAAATTTTAGCGAACAGGTAATAGCGAAAATAGTCCAAGCGTACAATTTTTGCATTCAGTCAGTATACCAATTCCAGTTTATTCATAGCCTGATACCATGAACAAATATCACAAGTGTGTTTTAGTACAAGCTCTTGAACGTTTTAGGCCGTAAACTCTTCTGCCGAAGCTCACGCTTGCTCCTCCACTGCCTCTGCTGGAGCTTCCTGCAAGAAATATGGATTTAGGAATTATAAAGACGTGCTGTGCTATAAAGCAATTTTTACTTGTGCTTTTTCCGTTGATTCATCTGGCTCTTCTCCTTCGAAGTCTTTTTCGGGAAGCACCAAAGGTATTGGAGCAACTGGCGGCTTTGCGGCATCACCTTCAGCAGGGACAAGTTCCACGTACTCTATTTTCTCACGTTTGCTGTCAAAGAAGAAAGAACGTTCATTATATTCTAGTGATTTGGTATATTACCGAATTTGTTCAAGTTCTTCATTTTCCTTACAACCCCATTCGCTAGGAGGACGAGCGGTTCCGTGAGCAAGTGTGAAAGGTTTCTGAGTCTTTGGGTGCTCAAACATATGACGGCAATCGCCATACGATCTGCGAAAGCATAAAGAAACTGAAATTTTAGGGCCTATGTTCTCACTTTCTATCCTTCTGCCGTTCGAATTTTGAAAACATTGTGATTTTTGGTGGATACTTCGATGGAACGACTTCATCAGGATCAAGCCCTTTTTTGATAGCTTCGTTTCGAGCAACCTGTCTCTGTCGTTCTTGAAGCTCTCTCATCTGTATGTAAATTGTCTTTTTTTAGCGGACGTAAGCAAACGAGAATAGCAGAGAAACTTATGGCTTACATCGTACTGCTGTTTCTCATGGCGCATTTCTAAATCGTACTTCTCTCCCTCCAGTTTGACAATGCGAGCATGAAGGCCTTTGATTTGTGCTTTCAAATCAGCTGAAGAAAGTTTCGAGACATCGACGGGACGGCACACAGCCTCCAGGAATGTGCGCTTTGCTTGCTCCTGTTTTGCCTTACTACTCAGGTGCTGCTCCTCTTTCACCTTAGGATAACGAGTACAGTATTGCGTCATATCTTGACAGTTGTTGAAATACACTACTTTATCTCACCTGAGCCATGTTTGCTAATTGAGCGGCTTGATTGGTCTTTGTAATTGTGAAGTTTTTCCCAGATTGTCCAGAATGCCCACGAAAACTTTCGGACATCATTTCCTGACGACGCTTCCGTTCTTCAAGTTTACGAGCCCTTTCCTCCTCCATTTTCGCTTTTCTTTCTTCCTGTGCACTCGAAGTCATTTTTCGCACTTTGAAAGAAAGCAGGATTACCTCCTCTTTTTTCATGCGCTCCTCGTCTTGACGACGGCGTTCAGCGTATTGTCTTTCGTCCTCCTCACGCTCGAGACGTCTTTTTTCTTGTTTTTCCTTCAGTTCGCGCAATTCTTGATCAATTTTTTCTCTTTCAGCTCGACGCTTTTCCTCATATTCTTGCATTCTTGCTGCCTCTTCTTCATCATGGCGTTTTTTGACGGCCTACAACAAGCTGAAATTATGACTCATTTTGAAAATCGTGACGACAAGTTTGACTGCGGTCTTTGCGCACACAGGGACATAAAACACCCATAGATATGCATCAAAATGTCCAGCTCAGTTACTCCAGTGCCTGAATGCTATCATATGTAAGCAGAAAAATCGTTCGAGTAGAGATAGAAATCAAGAAACGGAAGTACGTGCGTGTCGCGCGCGGTCGGTATCGTCACGATTTTTCTAATGCCCTACAACTGAATGTTCACTCTTTTTTTGTACTTACAAGCATGGCAGCTTCTGCTTCCGTTATCTCTGCTGGAGCTTTCTCCTCTTCCTGCGCAGTGCGGCTCTTAGGCCTGGAGACACCAATTAAGAAGGAAAGAGCAAAGAACTGCCAAACCACTCAGCTGCCAAACCACTCACCTTTCGGCTTCTTCGTGATGCTCATTCTCTTGGCTGAAAGATTACTTTCCTTCATAATAATAACTTCATTGAATTGAGTACTTACTCTTCGTCGACGGTCTCCTCGGCAACTTCATCGGCGGCACTTTCATCCTCGACCTGTTCGACATCAACATCCTCTTCCCTCTCAGAGCTTAATCACGCAATCAAATTATGCAAATTTTAACAGATTGTGTTACTATCAGTTTTTTTTTCAGAATGGATTAGAAACACTTACATTTCGTCCTCGTCCATGCTGAAAAATCTAAAAAATCAGAGTGAATGGATTTGGCACACGGTTTGTGTCAATGCATAAAGGATTATTCCAATGTCTGCACAAATTTGCGCATCCGTTCTGCTAGGTTTCGAGCCACGCGTGGGCGCATTGCTGATATCAAAGGACATGCCCGAAGGAGTAGCGCGAGACCTGGCGGAGCTGATGAGCGACTTTCCGCATACGGTAGAAAAATCAATACGCACTGACACGGACTGTACAAGGCATTCTCAAGGCGTGACAGATGATGGGACAAGGAGAAGACAATGGCGAGTATGAGTCTGAGAGTCCCGCTTTAACAGCTTTGGGAGGGGCATTGCGCAAAAAATTTCAAATTCTGTGCTGTCATTACAACGCTGAAGACATTTATGTGCTATAAACTCTGTTTCATAACTCATCAAAACTGCTCAAACGTGCTTAAAGCTCGGTGAAACTAGCTATTAATTAGCAGCCCACCAAAAAAACTCATGCTGATCATAAAGTACAAAGGAGAAAAATATTTTTATTGTTTATTACTACAGATTGGTGCCTTTGAAAGGTTCGATTTCTATGAGGAGTAGTCACTAATCAGGTGAATATAGCTTAGAAATCCAAGTGTCGAATTTTCGTTAGTTGAGGGCATAGTCCAGGGAGAACCTCTATTTGAATATTTTTCTTATAAGTCCATGATCTATTTCTCCATACCTGGTCATTTCATGTGGTTTCTCTTCGGTTATGAAAAATCCAGGTATTTTTACTGGGTAAAGTTACTTGAGGAGTTTTTATTGAGTCATGGTGTTCCAAGGTCTAAAAGCTAATTGCTGTCTACTCACATCCAAGGGCGAAAACTCCTCATTTACCAGGCATTGCCTTGTCCAGACGTTAACCCATACACAACCTACTGAGGAGCACGTAAACGAACCTTGAATTCACCGAAATTACCACAAGCTTGCGGAGCCTTTGTGCTAAGACTGCAGCTCGCATGTCAACAAGTGTCAACAAGAAAGGCAGGAGGTCGGTCGATACAGACATTCATTTTTGCAGTTCATGCCAAGACATACTAGAAATCCATGCGACTTCCATAATCTTTCTCGCACTAATCTCTGCTTCATAGGACAAATTCGACGTTTGACGTCATCATTGCGATTGTGCGCCCCAATCTTACAGTTCCTCAACGATGCGTTGGAAAACTACCACGACCGAATCACAAGAAGATCGGTAAATGAACTCGTAACAGTTGGCTTGTAGCGATGAATCGCGACGATTAAATCGCGTGAACTCTGCCGGAGGCTTTACGTGTATCACTGTGAGCGTTCCTCCTACAGTGATTCGATTTTCCGCTCAACATGCTGTGCTTGCATTGCAAGTAGAAATGCGGTAAAATTTGCGCGTGAACAAAAAGCCACGCCTGTGACGCGGGCCAACTGCGCGCGCAAGATGCGCATTACTGGCGTGGCTATTTGTTAACGCGCAAATTTTACCGCATTTCTACTTGCAATGCAAGCACACCATATCAAGCGGAAAATCTATTCGACTGAATATATATATTCCATCGCAGCTCAAAGGCAGTGTCCCGGCAAAAAGATGGGTGCCGGGTTTTTGTGGCGATGTAAAGTAGACCCCCTACCTAAGCGATGACTGAAGTTCAGAGCGAAAGAGGGGATCTACCAATCCTGTCATTTGCTCCGAAAGTGGCCCGAATCTTACGGTAGGCCCGGACGCTGCCCACACCGTGATATCGATTTGCAAGGCCAGAGTGCGTATAGCGCACACAGTTGTGAGTGCAGGGTCCACGACCCTGCGTCTCTACCTTCGTACTCGCCCGAACCTACCATAAGATTCGGGCCACTTGGGGGACGATTTGTAAACTTCGTAGACTCCTTTCGCGCTGCAAACTTCTGTCGACGTAGTTGGGGGGGGGGGGGTCTACTGTCACATTATAACCAGAGCCAGGTACCCCCAGTCTGGTAGGACGCTGCCTTCAACATCGCAGCTCAAACAATCCCTTCCGCGAACCATTTCAGAATTTAGGTCTAAAAAGCCGTGTTCGTTTTTACGGAACTGCACAATACAAAGGTAGAGTGGTTGTGCACAGAGCCCGGCATGCCTTGGTTTCGTGCACTTTTGGGGACAAAGTCTCCCATGACTTCGCGAAACTTTACGAATTTCCCCTTGACGTCAAAATCACCACGGGAACTCTTATTCAATCAACATAACAATAAAAAAGCGAAAAAAGGTATTTTGAGGCATCTAATATAACAGTAAAGCAAAAAACATATTTCGAGTTGATCAAAGGCTTTGTTATTGAGTAAAATATCATTTTAGTCACTATGTTGAAAACCTCCTAGATCAACCAAACCTATACCCTCAACAACGTGGCTATGCATTTTTTGCTACATAGTTCGAAGGACGAAGCATGTGATTGGAGCGCGGTATTTACTATATGACAAATTTTTGAGCGTTCTAATGGTCCAAATCAAAGGTCCAAAACTTATGTGAACTCTCTGATGTTTATGCTCCGAACCAACCCAGTCGGTTAGTGTTGATCTAGAAACCAGCAAATTATGAAACGGGTATTGGGACACATAAGTTTTTTGTAACTTTTTACATAGTGTAGGAGTAATATCGTATACACATAGTCAAAATTCGGCGTCATGTGAATGTTTGTGCATTGTAAACAAGGCATTTGCTTGTTTGAATCTTGCGTTTGAAATTCGTGCGCTTGCGAAAAAAGACGTTCAATCCGTAAAGCCCGTCATGTTTGTAGGATTTTTAGGGCTCCTCCCACGAACTTACAAAAACGATTCCCCACTGCTTTTGACCCCAAAAACGAAATCCAGTTTGATCCCTGCCAATCCCTGGTAGCATCCGTCAATGTTTGAGTTGCGATGCTATATACACAAGAGACTTGGATAGAGCATTATATGTAAGAGTCAGAGAGCACTCAACAGATAAGAGTGAGACCTTGGCATCACCGTTTGAAAGACAGAGGGGTCGAGGCGCTTTAACGCAGGTGACACGGTGATTTGACGTAAAATGCACGATTTTATCGTAGCAACAGAACTTGCAAGATATACTATGGAAATCGCATCGATTTCCGGTATGTCTTATATGAATCTTGGCATGAGCAGCAAGAACAAATCTTGCCTTTCTTGTCAACATGCGAGCTGCAGCCTGCACATAGAAGGCAACGTAGTAAAATAATGTCGTCCGTTATTTCTGCGCATCTACCGACTGACTATCTACTCTCTGATTTAACTGGAATGGCAGGTGGAAGGCGGGGCTTCGTAACCTAATTAAAGCTACATAATGATCAGAGAGCGCGCCCGCGACGGAGACTGCGTCTCCAGCGCGAGCGGCCTCAATTAGATTACAAAGCCCCGCCTTCTAGCCGCAGCCAGTTTAATCAAAGATTACATATTCGCTTCTGGGACATATGTGATGTATGCTAAATTCAACTATTATGCACTTGCAATAGAAGGAGAACGCTTCAGACATTATTCCCCTCTTTCCAGTTGATTCAGAAACTCCTAACGTAGTCACTGAAATGATTGCCGTTTTAAAGCCATCGCTTCTACAGTCGAATCACTTCTTATGACCATGTGTGTCATTGCACACACGGTCAACCTTTGGCGTTCCCATCCTGGATTATCGGAGGAAACAACCCCTAGGATAAGTGTTTAGAAGGTGTCCTCAGTACTTTCTTTCCTTTGTGGTAATCACCTCAAGTTGATGTAATCGACAACAAACGGTAAGTCTGTTGCATTTTTGCGATTGCAAATCTAGGATGAGGACGCCAAAGATGGACTGTGTGAGCAATGACACACGGCCACATGAAATGATTCGACTGTACTTTGTTCACCTTCGGCTAATTTGGAATTTCTGCTGTAAGTTAACATTCATAACAGCCGGAACGAGGAAACGTTCCACGCTACTTTCGCTTTTGCGAAATTGCTCACAGGGAGAGGATACTTAGTCGAAAGCGCCAATCCAGATGAGGCAGAGAGAAACACCTCACCTAGAGCGCTTGAAGCACTAATTCCAAATCTATAGTTTCTAGCTGCAGATTGTAGAAGGATTAATGAGATGTTTCTCTCTGGGATTGAGGCACCCTCCAGTAGGTCTCCCCTTATCCATGAGCACTGTAGAGGAGTATCAACTGCTGGCAGCTGGCCTAGTGGTAAGTAATTTGAATGAAGATCACGACAAGGATTGTAGTACTCATGTCACTTTGGTTTTTTTTTCAACACTTCTAACTTCGTAGCATATCATCAGAAATTTCAAGCTTTAGGGCTCCAAAGCCATTTAGAAGCTCAAAATTGCAAAAATTGCGATAAAATGGCATGCGAGGGGATTAAAACCTTGATCTCCTTAACAAGCAAGTCACTTACCACTAGGCCAGTTGCCACCATTTGGTACTTCTCTACAATGCTCATAGATGAGGGGAGACCCTGGAGGGCACCTCATCCCCAGAGAGAAAACCCCTCATAAATCCTTCTACAAAACCGTTCCGCAACTAGAAACTATAGATTTGAAATCAGCGTTTCAAGCGCTTTAAGACGATATATGTCTTATCTGGAGTGGTGCTTTCGATTAAGTCCCCTCCTTGTCAGTAAAGGACGTAAGCCGTTTGCACCATGTAAAAGGTCAGAGATTTCCCATACAGAAATGTAGTCGCGCGCGACAATCCTAGACGGGTTTTACCTATGTGAGCCTTAGCCACTCTGCCACCCCCTCATAGCAAACTCTTCCTTTCATGTATTACCACAGAATGGCCTTCCTAGCTCGGTGGTTTGGATGGTAATGAGAAAAGGAATCAAGCACATGATTAGTGGTAAAAATCCAACGTGCTCCAATTGTGCAGTTGCTAAAGGTAAAAGTGAAGAATGCTGTCAGATTTAAATTCCGTGACCCCTTCTATCGCTTTTTAAGCGAAGATGCAAAAAGTGGCAAAGCCAAATATATATAATATAAGCATTTTGCATGGCCTCCTCCAATCAACATGTTGTACCCTTTGATTCAACGGCATTGGCGGGTGGAAGGCCCCGGACAGACTTCACGCGATTTGATCGTCACGACTCAATCGCCGACATTTCCATTCATTTTCATTTCACATTCAAAAATTTCGGGCTGGAAAAGTATCACAACCGAAATGCAAGTTGATCGGCATGGAATGATGTTGTAACAGTTGTCTCGTCGCGATTCAGTCGCGACGATCAAATCGCATGAAGTCTGTCCGGGGCCGAAGGCGGGGCCTCGACACCTAGTCAAATTAGAAAATGATCAGAGACGCACGCACGCGAGAGAGACGCAGAGTGCGCCGCGGGACGAGCGTCGCTTCCCAGCCACCAAGCCATGTTTGAAATAGGAGCCGATCTACTGTACTCTCGAACAGTATGCTAACGCAAAAATGCAAAGTCTACCTTTACTTTAGAATTCCAAGTTTGGAAAGAAGGAGTAGTCATGGTGCTGCCAGGTTCCGACATTGTTGCGCTTGCTACTATAGAACCAGCGGCTGAATGTTGCTTGCTGCATATTATATTTTAAACAGCTTGGCAAGCTCCATGGGGTGTGTAAGCGCTACCAACTCCACTAGTAAACAAAAGTTTATTGTGTGCTGCCTCCCATTCACTTACTTTTCATGCGAAACCTGAAGAAGGCCATAATATCTTTTAGGCTTCATCCACGCATTACTTCTTGCCAGTGTTACAGTTATCCTCTTGCCTGTGTTACCTTGTCGCAGGATATCACAGGTAAGAGTTACCTGTGTTATCCTGCGACAAGGTAACACAAGCACACAACCTCTTGTTACCGCTTTGCCTGGCCACATGACTTCGCACTCAAGATGCCGCGCATATGGCATACAGGGCCTACGTTTGATCAGGGTATTCTGATATCGCACTCCGAAAACAGGTGTGGTATACGCAGCACCTGAAGATTGCGAAAAAAGCTAACTATTTGGCGAGGTCATCACACCGTTACCAAACAGCAGCAAACGAGGGGACGCTATAGCACTAGCAACTCTGGTGACGCGGGTTACACGGATAGCTGCTAACCTGGTAATCCGGGAAACGCTGGTAGCACGATTACACGGATACACTAAGCACGAGGCTCTGGTGACAGAGGGTTAGTTATGCATGTAAGCCGAAGCCTTAAGTAGGTAAGTAAAGATTTCTTCCCCTCCCCCCCCCCCCTCCACTGAAATCCAACCCGCTACAAAAACAAAAAGAAAGCTTCGTTCGATTCAATACAAATGCACGAACTAAAACTCTTTTATAAAAGTGACACATTTTTAAATAAAGCAGAGTAACGGTGTTCATATTCACTATTTTGAGTACATTTCTTCTTTTTAGGATAAGCGATCCTTCGTCTAACCGCATCTATTGTCATAATCAATCATAATGTCCGAGCAATATTCTGCTAATTTCTTAAGATCGCATGGTGTAGAACAGCATCCTCGTACGTTACGGGTGATGTCCACAGGATCATTCATCGTTTTCTCTTTGTAAAGTAACTAAAGCAACAATTTAATGAGGAACAAAGAGCAATGTGAAAGATCAAGTACTTTTACAACTGGTTCTTCATTTCTTTTGTACAATTCCAACATTAGTATTGCACTATATTTGGGATAACTTTCACCCAAAGCAGCTTTTCCACATCCAAGCGCATGTAACATTGTAAAGATTAGATAGTCTTCCTCAACAAGTTATTTTGCTCAAAGGTCTCATAAGGTTTTAAGGTCTCATAAAATTTACCACAAAATAGGCTATGAACTTTCTTCTAACTGATCCAAAATTTGCATATTCCTTCCATTGTTCACTTAATGTATCGAAAATATTTTTTAAGAATGGTCCTTGAAGTGAAGTTAAAATTCTAATATTTCGGAATTCATTGGCAAAATACCGGTAACTAATTGCCTAAAATACCCATTGGAAAAAAAGCTAGACATAAATCTGACTCTACTTCTGCCTATACCCTACCTTATCGGCAAATTTGTGTAGTTCATTACTCATATTTTTGAACCATTCTGGCACAGTCATACCGTTTTCGTCCTTAAATCTTCAATTAAGTGTTTGAAGGCGATCTACAACAACTTGATTAACTTTATATATCAAGTCCTCTACTTCAGCCAACGTTTCCTCGTCTTCGAAAAGAACTGAAGTGTTTGGAAGAAGGCATTTGTATAAAGAATTGAATTGTTTGACACGCTATAAATTCGGGTAAGGCTTATTCCGTAAATTTAATTGAGTCGTTGTTTACATCGGTGGTCTTTTCTAAATCACAGTGGCGTAAGTATATTTCCAGAAACCAATCACATGACATTTCCTCTGAACTTCTTATAATCTGAAAAATCAAATCTTTGAAATGAGCGCAGACTGTTTTCTTTTTGGACCCACCTCATCATCCTCCTCTTCACTATATATAGGTACTGCGGTAAACTGTCCAACTCCTCCTGCCCACATGCCTGATCCAACTAAAGCAGCGCTGTGCAGGTGCTTGCTGGAACTTCGACTTCGGAAGTAAACCTGGAAGGACGTGTTTCTTCTGTGTACTATTCCCCGCTATTTCAATACTTCTGATGGCAGCAAAGACTTTCTGAGAAGACCGCTTTCGACATATCGTTTGCTGAGGTACCTTCCTAACTCGAAGGAATCATTGATGCCAAGCTGTAATAGATGACATTTACAATGGGGTATTTTATGAACATGGTTTACAGTCGCTTCATAACCAGGAGTTCACCTTATAATTTCATTCACCTTATAATTTCTTCAAGGAGGTGTTGATTTAAGACAAGATGGCTCATTGAGATGAGTTAATCATAATTCGAAGTGAACTTTTTGTTTTTGATGGAGAACTGATCTGCTTAGATTTCTGCTTCCATTGGTGAAACTTTCAAAAGGCAAGAAGAAGCATTTTTGGCATCTACTTGCTCGCTGCAAGACATGACTAGGAAGTCTTTTGATTTCACGCACCTTTTTCGATTTTTCACGCGAGCCGCTTAGCCTCTTCACTGTATTTGGGGAAGCGATTTTCATGCTCATGTTTCTCTCAAAGGCACCGTCCACCCAAATTGGAGTTGGTGAGATTATGGTACCTAGCAGCTGCGAGGCCCCCAGCTGTATGATTGCCCAACTCGCGCTGACTGAAGTTGCTTCCGAACCGACAAAATGGCTTCGGAAATCGCTTCAGGTGACGGTTCGCGACGTGGGCTCCTCCCCTTTCGGTGGGCGTGACGTTCGTGTGTGTGTGTGTGTGTGTGTGTGTGTGTGTGTGTGTGCATGTGTGTGATTGGTTGGGCACGCACATCTGTGCGTGCCAACCAATCACCGCTCTGAAGAAATCGCTCTGCGAGTTCTGAAAACGGGAGGTTTTCGTGGTTTTCGCGGATATCCGACTCGATATTCGGAATCAGGGGTATGAGATGGCCCTGGAACGGCAGAAACATGGAGGTCGAAATTTTGGGTGGACGGTGCCTTCAAGCAATATACAGCATGGTATGGACTTTTTGCATGCGAAGTCCTCTGGCGTGTTTAGGCTGGTCGAAATTCAAAAAAAAATCCCCGCGTCTGTACGCGTGGAATTAGGGTAACTACCCAGTGTACTCTCCGGGTTCGTCTCACCGGCTATTTGACCTGCTCTCTTGCAAATGATATAAACGGCACTAGTGTCGATTCTGAAAACGATCTTATGCTCTGGTCAGACAATTTTTTGGAGGACCAGATCCGCGTAAGTCTTGAAAAAAAAAAGAAATCAATATTCTGAAGGCAACATGGCAGGAAGATAGGCGCATTAGTGGAACATGCTTGACTGATTTCCGATAGAATTAGGTTATTTGTTGGTTTATCTTGGTTTATCAAGTCTCTACGAACTCTTCTGAAAGGACAATAATACTACCAAGACTTGATGCCAAAACAATGGTTAAGAACGAAAAGCTTGCTTTTATGAGAGGTCACCATCTGGTGGTCTCCGCTTCATAAACGTGGAAACAAGGAAACAGAAGCGACCTATCGAATGTAATTTCGAGATGATTATACGATTTATCGCTTCGAAGTAGGTGTTGGAAGAGCGAAAAGTTGCGCGCCGTGAATCAATTGCTCGGGTACCAGTGGTAGTTATAGAGCTTATCAAACGCAGTGTCGCTTGCATCAGCATCTTCACCCCCGCGCTGGATTTTGCATCTCCTCCGCGAACATGCTCCCTGATCACTTTCCCAGGGCGAGCGTGGGAAAGGAGGAGTCTCAATCGATTGGAAGTGATTAGAGAGCATGTTCGCGGAAGAGACACAGTCCAGCGCGGGTGGAGATGCTGATGCAAGCGACACTGCGTTTGATAAGCCCTGTAGAAAGCATTGCCTACATTTTCAATTGAGTGGCTGTTTAACAAACTGTTCGTTCGCTTATTTATCAGCTTTTATTTGCCTTCTGCTCCTCGCCAAAACATCAAGTTGATTATCCTATTTTGGATGTATAAGCCGCACCCTCCTTTCTCTAAAGAGCAGACCCAGGCGTGCCGCTGCGCATATGTTCCGCGAAGAGGTCGCATTCTTACACATTTCTCTCGGTCAATAAGCCCCTGGTAACAAGCAGCAGTCTTTTGGCGTATTCGCCTTCAGAGCAAGTAGGGTGCGACCTATACACCTGTAGGGTAATTCGTATTATTTTATCCTTTGACTCACAAAATAATTTCGAATCTTATATCAGTTGTATATGCTATCTGTCAATCGAAAGTCTGACAAAAGTCACATCACTCTTGATTTCTTTTGTTACATTCCCCTTTGCTTCGAAAACTGTACATCAAACACAATCAGTTGAATTGAACGGCTATTGTTGCTGGTAGTAATACACTCGAACTTAGAGGCAGTGTCTAGACAAGGTGCGAGTTTCGGAATTCCAAAACAATGAGGTAGTGGGCCCTCCAGAAAAGGCATCGCGCAAATGCGAGGCTATAATGTTCCACCTAAAGCAAGAAAAAAGGTCGGAAAATGGCGAAACTTACATCTAGGGCTGGGTCCTCCGCCTGTTTGAATTCCTGCTTGGCAGAGTACGCATGCTGCCACAGTTGAAGTCGTAGGGTCTCACAGAGACTCTGCGTCTGAGCCTTGGTGGCAACCGTCCATTCTCAAATTGTAAGCTTCGGGAACGCTTGTTCTTGCCGTTTTCGTGCTTTCTAATTTAGATTTTTGGATTCAGCGCTGCGGATAACCTTAGATAAGTGTTTTCTATAAATCGAGCTTTTGCCCGGACACTGCCTTTAAGTTCACGAAGGATTGTGAGCTTTGGCACCGCATTTTCTAGCATTTTATATGATCTCTTGAAAATCCCTGGCGGCCGACCGTTCTTTTCTTTGAAGATATTTTTCTTCCTTCAAAGCTAGTGAGAACATTCCAAAGTTGTGCTGTTTACCTAACCCTACAGTGCTAATCATGTTTCTGGTAAGAACAAGTGATGTTTCCAAGTCATGAAATCCGCGATGAACGACAAGTCGAAAGTTGGGATTTATCGAAAAAATCAATATTCCAAAAACTCGTTTATTCTTACCAGCAACATGCTTATCACTGGTAGCTTAGACGAACCGTACAACCTTGGAAGGTTTCGTTAGCTATAAAGGAAGAAAAATGACTTTGAAGAAAACTCAGACAATTCATCGGAACTTCCGCAGGACAAGCAGAACTTGCAGCGTTTCCGCAGTACTTTCTTAACCATTGAGAAAGTGCACGCTCCAGAATGCGAGGTTTCCGCAGGAAATTGATGTCACAGCGATGGTAAACCGGAACTTCCGCAGCACTTTCTATAAAGCGCCGCGAAAGTGCAGTGAGGCTCGTAAGGTTTCCGCAGCACTTTGACCCGCCAGCATTTCCGCAGGACTTTGAGAGCGCATGCACTTGCGATTGCGAAATAGCAAACGCAACATCAACACCGCATAAAAAGGTTGCCACAACCTTGCTAATTGAACCACACCAACCACAACCACACGAACGACACACGTTTATTGCCGATTACCTCAAACTTGGGTAATTAAACCCTCATTCTGCTTGAAATATACACACATAAACAACGAAGCATCGACATGAAAAAGTGACGAAATCACTAACAAATGGTTGGAGCTATGATGACGATAAGTCAAACCAAAATAATATCTTGGATATCTTGTGAATTTGGACTACTTGTAGGAAATATACAAGAGGAGATAGAAAACATACGATAGGAGTGTTAAATGTGCTATCCTACGTACAAGGAATGAACGGATAATGAGGCAACACAAGTAATGAGTGTTAGTGATGGAAAATGCATGAGTAATAATGACTAAGTATATATAGACGTTCGCTTGCTGACTCCATCGTTCCGTTTGCAGCTGCAGTCGTTTTATCTGTAGACCGAGGTCTTTTTGTCGAAGAGAATGTCGCAACTGGCATCGTGGATTCATTCCTTGGCATTCCACAACTTGCCTTTTTATTTAGCAAGCATTGCGATCCGTGAACGTCTCAATTGGTACTTTGGTACTGAGGGGTCATCGTATGCAACTCTCATGCACTATCTTGCTCAATTGCATCGCGATCCGCGATACTCCCGGCCACGCAAGTTCGCAACTACCTGGAACTTGTTCATCGGGAGAATCATCTAGCGCGTATTCCTTGAACTGTTTTCTGGTGGGGTACGAACTGTGCTGAAGCGTTCCTTGTAGGCATCTTCCTACTTTTACCACTATATGCATCGGTAGGCAACTTATCCTGGCAAATATATGACGAACTGTCCAAGGAACTGTTAATTCTAGGCTTTGAATGCTCAAATACATGATTAGCACAAGCAGAGCACTTCCTGCAAAGATAATCGTTAGTGTCTTGTACCGCAAAACTTCCAAGATGAATTTTTGCCGAGCGATCTCTCCGTAGACCATGCTGCTTCCTGAGTTCTTCGTTGTTGACGCTTGCCGGAAGGTTCAGTGAAGAGGCAGTTTGAGTTCTTTTCGATCTTCGTCATCTGTCCCTTGTGTACTGCGACCAATTTGTACCTTCTTTTCTCTTGACAAAGAAGGTTGTCTTTGTTGGTGTGCTTTCTCGTATACACTGTGAGACTTCGCTTGTTTTCTTCTTTTTCCTTTGGTACTGCAGGTGCCAACTGGATACCTCTTCGTCTCTCTTCACTACTGCTTTTCTTCTGAGCAGGTGATCCCGGGTTTGACTTTCCTCCTAATCCTGCAAAAACCTGCTTGAAATGCCTGCTTTGCTTCTTCGAATTCTTCCTCCACTTTTCTGCTTCCTTCTCCATAGTTGACCGCAAAGAGTGCTGTTTTGAGCGAAAGGTCCCGTTCTGTACGTTTTTGAGCTTCTTCTGGATCACTCGTCGGGTTGTGTCACGTCCATTTTGCTGGTTCTGTGCTATAAGGGTTCTCACGTGATGGCACATACTTTGCATCAAGTCTCGCATCTCCTGTTGCTGTCGTTCGAGAATTTTCTTGAATTTCA